TCAAAGTGATGGCAAGTTCTGTGCCTCGAAGTGTCAGAACGGGGGGGTCCTGCCGCCTCGTGGCTCGGCGTCACTCAGTGCGTGCTTGGCCGTAGGGCCCATGTTCCTGTGGTAGCCGAATTGCTAACTGGCATGTGCGTTGCACACGTTTTGCTGCCCCTTTGTGGGGATTTCAAATTGTCGAGTGGCAGCTTGGTGGCTGTGAGGTGTCTCAGTGCCTCGAAGTGTCAGAAGGGGGGTCCTCCCGTCCCGTGGCGCGGCGTCGCACAGTGCGAGCTTGGCCGTAGGGCCGGCGTTCCTGTGGGAACCGCGCCAGTAGATGGAAGGTACGTCGTTCACGTTTTGCTGCCCCGCCGGTGGAGATTACACACTGGCTGGACGCCTGGTGGCTATTTCCTGGGCTGTTCGTACAAGCCGGGGCCGATGGGGCGCTGCTGGCGCTGCGCGCCGCTGTTGTGAGGCCCCGCTCTGACGCCCGTCGCCATGCCACCCACATTTTTAATCTATATTATATGTGTATATCTACACACATATATATGTGTATACATATATATATATATACACATATCTATACATATATATATATATATATATACTTAGCCACGCTTCCGCGAGGTCCGCCCCCCTGTTGTTCTGCCTCGGGATTTGTACTTTTGGGCCTTGGGGCCCGAAGGTCTCCGTCTTCCGGGGTCTGTGCGCACCGTTGCACGTCGGTGCGCGTGACCCTGGGGCCCAGTTTCCAGGCCCGTCGGGGCCCACGGGCCCCCCCTCGAACTACATGACTTGAATCAGTCGCCCGACGGGCGCACCCTCCTGTGTTTCACGAGCATCGAGGTTCAAGTCGTAGTCACACGATTCCAACGCTCCAGTTCACATGCAGGCACTGCCCGTGGCCTCGTTCGCTCCGCCGCGGCATTGCTGGCAAGACAGAGGGATGCGGGCCCACAGTCGTGTCTTAGCTTATCTTACCTCCGCGTCCTCCCTTCTCCGTCCCTCTCCCTTGATTCAACAACTTCGTTTCGTCGCACCACCATGCGGGTCGCTAGGGCGGGCCAGGCGTTCCGTCTGCAATGTATGTTGCGCAAGCTGGGGACTGGGATGTATGTGATGGACGCTGTGCGGTGATACGCCCCGGGGCGCAAACTATGAGGCACAATATCTATGGCGGGGTCCGGAAGCTTTGTACCAAGGACCCTCGCAAATCTCATTGTGCCACATATTTTAATTCCGCCAATTTCCGCAAGCCTTTCACCGGTTTCCGCCGGCAGAGCAACCATTGTTTTGCGTACACCGGCTTCCGCCGACCTTCTGCAGAGAATGAAATGTCACTTCCTTCGGCCCTCGAAACCGGGACCCGTTCTGGAACGCCCAATGAAGTGCAAGCTCTGTAATGCACGCTATACGGTGCAAATTAAGCGGTGCAAGCTACGATGAGCAAGCTGGGTCATGCAATCAACGTACGGCGCAAGCTATGATGTGCAAGCTCGGTGGTGTAGTCTACGTGGTGCAATTCACTTGCCGAACCTGAAGTTGTCAACCCCACTGTTCGCGCAAACATCCCGCCCAACCACCCGCAATGTGGTTAGCAAACCTTGTGCGGCGGCGATTGCGATGAGTGTTTGGCGCTGGCTGGTGCATCTCTGCAGCCGCGCCAGCCCGCGCATGGCCGCGCGCAGCGGCCAGATAGTCTGGCGCGACCGACGCGGCCGCGGTGGTGCTGACCGCTCGGCACATCCCAACGGGCACTTGAGCGCGAGTCGGCGACTTGGGCGGGTGCGGTGTCATGGCGGCGTCGACTGTTGTAGATACGATGATGACGATGATGATGATGATGATGATGATGATGATGGTGATGATGATGATGATAATGATGATATTAGCGATGTTGGTGGCGATACTGACAGCGACGACACACGGCCCGCGACGGCGCCGATGCCGATCACGCCGACGGCGATGACGGCAACTCCGCGTCGGTGATGAAGGTTTTGGAAGGAATTCGAAATGCGCGCGCAGCAGACGCGCGAGAGTGGCCCGCATGGTTTTATTTAACACGGATCGTGCCACCCCAGCACGCGCGCAAGGGCGTTCGAACGATTTCGACATGCGCGCGCAAAGCCTGTTTGGTAGCATGGTATGGAAATGTTGAACGAAACCGATGGTTTTCTAAAGAATTCGCACGCGCGCGCACGCTTTTCTTGAAAATCCGTGTTGCGAAACCTTGTGTTTTTGTATGTTTTTTGGACACCCGATTTTGAAATCCGTCCGAAACCGCAGGTTTCCGAAGGATTTCGTCATGCGCGCGGGACGACGCGCGCGTGCGCAATTCGTCCCATTTTTGGCCACGGGTTCTCGCGACGCCACGCGCGCAAGGGCGTTCCTAACGATTTCGACATGCGCGCGCGAAGCCCGTCTGGTAGCATGTTATGAACATGTTGAACACAACCCATGGTTTTCTGAAGAATCGCAAGAGCGCGCACGCGTTTGTTGAAAATCCGTGTTGCGAAACCTGGTGTGTTTTGGATATTTTTGGGGCTCTCGATTTTGAATGCCTTCCGAGACCGAGGATTTCGGATGGATTTCGGCATGCGCGCGCGACGACGCGCGCGTGTGCACTTCGTCAATTTGTTTTGTTAATGGCTCCTGGAAGTTTTCGGTTTTTGATAAACCTATGCGCGCGCATAGTATTTTGTGCAGAGCATGGCCGGGGGGGGCGATACCGGCCTGGCTAGGAGAGTATGAATTCACAGGTAGGATGGACATTGGGTCAGAATCGCATTTCTTTTGCATCGGCTCCCGTGGGGGTATGTAACTCCAGGGGGAGGGGGTGGTAGAACCTATTTTTCAAAGAAAGGAGAGATCTACGTGGTGCCCGCTATGTGGTGCGAACAATATTGAGCGATCCACCTGGAAGAAACTAAAGCCGTCTATTCCAAAGCTCGCGCAAGCATCCCACCCTCCCACCCACAGCGTGTTTGGCAAAACTCACGCGGCCACGGTTGCGGCTACTGGTTGGCACTTGGTAGCACATCTCTGCAGCCGCGCTGGCGCGGGCACGCTCGCGCGAAACGACCACACTGGCGCTTATTGGTGGGAACTTCCCAGCGCGTCTCAAAGGCCGCGCGTGCGCGCGCGCACTTCAGTGCGGGTCGGCGACTAGGCCGGGCGCGACATTATGATGATGTCGACAACGGCGGCAACGATGGTGATACCAGCGATGATGCAGGCAATGGTGGCGACGAGGCCAATAACGGCGCCGATACTGGTAACGGCGATGACGAAGATAAGGCCCATACATCGGTGATTTTTTGGGGAGGTGATTGTGATGATGGCGGCAATGGCGGCGATTGACCATGATGATGGCGGTGATGTGATGGCGCTGATGAGGGTGATGAAGGCGTGCACGTAGCGTACGCAGCTATCCAAGAAATTTGGCAGGCTGGTTGCTGAACGCCACAGATTTGCCCTCTGGGTTGAAGAGTTATACGTTGAAGTATGAGAATGTCGGTTTTGGGCGAAATTGCTCAACTCCGATGGTTTTCGGTAGATTCCAATACACGCACGAAGGGCAGAACATGTGTATGACACACAACATAGGTGGTTCAAATGTTGGTATGCAAAAATGCTCGCGATACGCTTGTACCCGGTGTGATTTTGACAACTGCGCGCGCGTATGCACTTCGTTCTCGCTTCTGCCATGGACTACAATCATGGCGCTGCAAGAAATAACGCAAAATTAGGAACGAAGTCCCTTGCTGGCCCCAGAAGCGCAGAATGTCACGAGGAGACTAGAGGAACAACCACGGAATTATCTAAGGCACAGCGAGCCCCTTCCGAACCCAAAGCGGTCCTGATTTCAGCGTTTTGACTGCATTGCAGAATGAAATATTGAGATAAACCAGTGCGCGCGCCTCATGCTTTTGACGCGGATGAAAGGGAGGGTCAATACCCTGCCCTCCTGGATGGTCTGATTGCATCAGGAAAACGGACGGTGAGGCATAATAATCAATCAGTTGAAATGCCCCAGGGGGTGCCGATAACCCCGGGGAGAAGGCGGTAGAGTCTATAACAGTTGATATGTCGACCCCGATCCCAGGCTTCGTAGGGTTTTCGAATCCATCGGAAAGTTTAGGCCCAACCCTGGGATATACGATAGGGGGGGCGTCCATCCTCGATAGGGGTGCGTCCGAATAGCCCGTTGGGGTGTATCCTAGGGTGTCCCCCTAAGTCTGGGCGGCCAGAATTTTTGGGCGGATCGCGGGGATTGGGAGAGAACAATCGCCTGCGACTCGAATCTACTACGCGGCGCCCACCAAGCGCCCACGATAATCTCAAATGGACAACGTCCGCAGCGGCAGCGGCCCCTGTTCGTGAACAACAGGAGCTGCTGTTGTACGCTTGTCCCATTCTTTCCGTCCCCATTTTGGTAATCCCTACTCTTCCTTGTGTCTGGAATTCTAACTGGCTTCGCAGTATCGGGAAGAAAACGACTCTGCAGCCCGGAGCGCGACTGGGTGCTTCCTTCCTCCATCCCTCCTCCTTCCACCCTCTCCAGAGCCCCACTCGTCACATACACCATGCCTTTTCGGGGTGCGCGCGGTGTCTTGGGTCGGCGCCGCACCACCCCCCGCACTCATTCCCTGGCGCAGCGAGCGCGCAGGGGACCGCGCCAGAAGCACCGGGGACGGCGCCAGAAGCACCGTCGGGGGTGTGAGGATGAGAGTCTAGCGCCGACCCAAGAAATCCGTGCAGGCCTCCAGCACTTTCTCTTCGTCTCTGCCAGCGAACACACATCTCTACGGTAAGCGATCTACTGTTAGGACCCTTGCATCAGAAACAAGAATCCTGGTGTGCCTTGGTTGCGCCAAGATGCACGGAGAGCACCAAACAATGACCCATGGAAGGTCCTAAGGAACATCGAGCCACGAGCCCCTGTCTAAACCAAAGTGGACCGCGACCCAAAGTCTTGACTGCACTCCACCTCCCGCGCTCCCCCCGGGGACGAATTTGGTCAGATGCTCGGGCAACTTGCTCGCCAGATCGACCACGTAGTCCACCAACGTTCGAATGTCGTCGGTGATCCGGTGGTCTGGGTTCTCCACCGTGCCAGCCAACTTCATCCGGTAGAACGAATTGTCCTGTTGCTTCTTGATTTCGCGTCCCTTCTCCTCCAACCTTCCACCCTCCACCATCCATCCTCCTACTTATCCAAATTGCATCTTCGAAATAATCGTGTCTCTCCAATCGCGAAGCTGTCCGCGTCGAATCCGCGTAGAGTCCGTTTCGAATATCGTATACACTAGTCCATGTTCACTCCGCGTCGAATCCACGTCGAATCCGCGACGAACCACGTCAGTTTACAAGACAAACAAGCTGCCCAAGAGACGAAACATTATGACTCTCCCTCCGCGTCGTCCGCTTGCACCTCCCGCATCCTCCACAACGACTCGGTGCAATAGCCACTCCACGCATGATAACCAAGCCATCCACTCGCTCGCGCAGCGCCGCCGCACAGGCATCATTCCACATCGCCCTTCGCCAGGAACGCCAGCTCCTCCTCAAGTCACAAAATCCCGACCTTACGTCGCACTCGAGACACAAAGGAATAACTCCATCCACCTTCACAGGAACTCAGAAACACCTCAACAATGGAGTCGGAATCCAGACGCGAACTTAATCTAGTGAAATTCGCAATGCCTCGGCTGGAGGGTTGCGAGGTCAAATTCAAGCGATCGAGATTCTCGCCTCCCATTTGCTACATACATAAGCCATGCGGTAGATCCCAGGACATCATCATCTTGGACCTCCTCCTCTTCCTGATATCACCTTCATCCTCCACCGAATCGATGGTTTGCTGACATCGTGCATCGAGGGATGGCAAGCTTTTTGGCTGCCACTCGTAGCGCCACGTACGAGTATCAGCATCCCCCCTGGTCGCCTCGAACATGGCAATTGAATTACTTGGCACTCAACCGCTGGAACTCGAGGCCCGAATGACACTTCGGGCACCGCTTGTTGTCTATCCGCATGCGGCGTGCGCATGGCCTGGACCACTCGCACCTCTCAGTCCTGCACCGCAGGCTCCAAAGCTTTCTCCTCTGGCAGCGCACGCCGTCGCGAAGCACTTCGATGGGCGAGCGGCACGTCGCACATACGAGGCCGTCGGATTTCGGCCGGCGCTGGTATCTGCGAGAGAAGCAGCCCCCTGGACACCTCATCTCGTACTGCAACTGGAGCTCCACGGAGAGCTTGATCCGGCTGCGGCGGAGGCCGTCGCAGCCGATCTGCTCGGCGATCGCCCGCCAGGTCGCGTCGTGCGGGCGGCCCCCGCGGAGCTCGGCGGGCCCGTCCAGGGCGTGCGCAACCTCGTGCAGCACGGTGTTCCTGACGTCCCCCATCGTGGCGTTTGGGTCCGACACGAGGTGCCTGGAGACGGTGATCCGCCTGTCGCGGTGGCTGCAGGACCCCAGCCTCCGAACGGCCCTGTCGAAGCCGAAACGCCAGCTCTCCAGGCCGTGTGCAGCCTGCAGCTCTGCCCAGAGCTCCAGGGCCTTCGCCGCGGAGGCGGGGCCTGCATCCGCCAGCGGCCCTCCGCCGTCCTCGGAGAGCCTGCCGGCCGCCGCCGCCCGCCGCGCGGGCGCGCCCCGCTGCGGCGGCGGCGCCGCGGAGCGCCCGCAGCAGCGGACCTGGCGGCGGCCGCAGCGGCGGGCGCCGCAAGCAGCCGCCGAAGCAAGCGCCGCCCGCGGCGGCAGCAGCAGCGGCGACGGGGGTGCCCACGGCAGAGGGGGCGGCCGCAGCAGCAGCCGCCGCGCGCCCAGCGCCGCCGCCGGGGCAGCCAGCAGGAGTCGGCGAAACGGTCTCTGGCCGGAGCCGGCCGACGGGGAACAGCTGGCGGCGGCGGTGCGCGCGCGGCCGTGACCGGGCGCGGCCATCTGGGCAAAGAGGAAAAGGTCCTCGGCCCAGTGCCTGCTCCTCCTCCTCCTCCTCCTCCTCCTCCTCCTCCTCCTCCTCGCCCTCCTCTTCCTTCTCGAATCCCTCCAACCCCTTCCCTTATAGACAATAAACTCCTCCGTGTCGCACCCCAAGGCGTATCAGTAGGGCGGGCCGGGCGTTTCAACAGATAGTGCCTCAGCATCGACGAGCCTGGAACCTGACACCTGCCAGGGCTACACGGATGGAAAAGAGGTGGTTTGCAACATGTGGCTCTCGCCTGAGCGCTGCGCACATCCGTTGTAAAAACTTGCATGAGTTTCACGGCTGGGGGTCGTCTTCAAAATGCTGTTACCGCCCGAGCGCCGCGAACATTCTCCTTAAAAGCCTGCAGCCGTCGCAAAATTGGGTGGCGTTGTTTCGTGGTGTTCTGTCCTCAGCGCCACGCACATTCGTGTCAAAATTGCGTCCCAGCTACACGGACGGAGAGGCCGTTCTCGATATGTATGAACCGCCGTAGCGCCACGCACATGGGTTGCAAACGCGCACAGTTAAGCGGACGGAGGGCGGTTCCCTTGAGCGCCGCGCACATTCTTTTCAAACATTTGAAGCAGCTACCCGGATGGAGGACGGGTCATTTGAAAAGATGGGCTTCTCGCCTCAACGCTGCGAGCATTCGTCTACAACACTTGAAACAATTACGGGCGTGGGGGACGGCTCATTCTCGAAATGGGGCTTTCGCTTGGGGCTTCCGTGGAACACAAAAAAACCCAAAAGTTAAAAATACGCAGCGCCTGCCTGGATGGAAGGCGGCTCAATGTTTGAATGAGAATCTGGCTTGAGACTTCCCCGAAACTCGTGGCCAAACGTAGAGTGCAGTGCAACGATGACAAAGATGAAGATGGGAAGGGTCCTTCTTCAAAACAGGATGTTCTTTGACACTTTGCTGGGCTCTATGATCGTACATGCTCGCATCCATTACTGTACTAGTCTCCAGACGGATGCAAGTCGGGGATCTGCTGACCCTGGTCAATCCAGACCCGGGTCAGTTGAGCCTTGCAGGATAAGGCAGGATACTCCAGGATCCTGCACCCAAACCTGGGTCAATGCGACCATGGCCCTGCAAGATCCTACACAATCCTGCAAGAACCTGCAGGATCCTGCACACAAGCCCGGGTCAGTGCGCCCCTGGCCCTGCAAGATCCTGCAGTATGCGGCGCTCTGGCTGACCCCCGTTTGCATTGACCCCCGTCTCTTGAGCCCCGAGCAAGGCACTTCCTCTTCAAACGGGAATTCTTGCCTGAATAGTAGGCCCATGTGAGGCTGGTCTTTCAAGGGGGAACGTCGTGTAGTGGAAAAAAGCGCCGGTATGGACTATGAGGAGGGGGCTTGGGACGAGAGTGTGTGTCGCAACATCGTTAATGTATTCTGGGTCTGCTCTGGTCCTCCTCCCTCCTCCCTCCTCCCCCCTCATCCACCTCCTCCTCCTCCTCCGCCTCCTCCTCCTTGCCATCCTCCTCCTCCTCCTCCTCCTCCTCCTCCTCCTCCTCCTCCTCCTCCTCCTGTCTCCTCCCTCGCTCCCTCCCTGGGCCAGAGCGGCTGCGGGGCGGGCACTCGCAGCAGGGCAGGGCGCTCCTCCCCCCCTCCCTCGCTCCCTGCCTGCCTCCCTCCCTCCCTCCTCCTCTAGCCTCCAGCCCTCCCTCCGTCCCTCCTCCCCTCCCTCCCCCGGAAAGACCCACGGGCGCCAGAGTTGGCCCCCCTCCCCCTTCGCCAAGGGGACCCGTGGGGACGCAGGGGGGGGGCTTTGAATTAAACAGCATGAGTTACACCCAGGGCGGTGACTAAAAAAACGACACAACATTAGATGAGGAGGAGGAGGAGGAGGAGGAGGAGGAGGAGAAGGAGGGAAAGAAAAGACGCGCACGGCGCGCGCGGCAGCAGGGGCGGCCAGGCAGGGGGGCGGGGACAGGAAAGGAGAGGTGCGGCCGGGGGGGGGCTGTCGGGTCGGTGGTGGTGGTGGTGGTCGTGGTCGCGGCGTTGTCGTGCTGGTGGTCGTGCTCGTGGTGCCAGCTGGCGGTGTCCGCGGTGGTTGTCGTGTCGGCGCTGGTCGTGGTCGTGGTGCTGGCGGTCGTGGCGGTTGTCGTAATTAGGGTCGTCGTCGTGGTGCTGGTGGTGGCGGCGCTGGTGGCTCTTCCCCTCCCTCCCTCCCTGCCTCCCTTTTTCCCCCTCCCTCCCCTCCCCCCCGTCGAAATCCACGCATCCACCGCCTGATCGTCGTCGGCGCAAGCATCCAAACCACGAGACCAGACCCCCACCCGCACGGGCCCTCCATGCTCCCTCGGGACAGCAGGAAGGAGCAGAGGGAGGAGGCCCGTCGAGGGCTCAGGAGGCCCCAGTGAGGCTCTGCCAGGGCCCGGGAGGCCTCCCCGCGGGCTCCTCACAGTGCGCCGAGAGAGCCGTCTCGCGGTGCGGCCCCGCCGTGGGCGCGGCGAGCAAGTCCACTGATCGCCGAAACTACGATCCAGAACATATCATTCAAGAAACCTGGACGTTGCGCGAAATCATACCTGGGCCAACGTCTGTTGTTAACGTTACAGAGGCAACGGAGCTCAAGAAACCAGGCCAGCTTTCCGGCAAATGGGTAAAATCAAAAAACCGCTGGCACAGCTTTTCGGGAGGAGGTTGAGACATTGAGCAGTGCAAATGCCCCTGATCCTGTGGGATGGGACCTCAGATAGGAGTGCCGAAGCATTAGGGATTACGGGGTCCTTTTTTCCAGATGTACCAGACGAACATACCCATATGTTTAGGGATATCCCTAAAAACCATGATTCCATGATCGTCGGATTAAGGGTTGCATGGTGCTTCATAATTCACTGCTGCCTGGCTGGGCCCTTCCCGGGCCCAGGAGCTTTGCATACGCTCTCCTGGCCAGGCCAGGAGGGCATGGCGCACACACCGCTGCTGGGTGCATCGTGGGCCTAGCCAGAGCGCAGTGGACATGTACAAACCTCGTCGCCCCATCGCACGCGCCCCTGTGCCGCGTCCAGCACCGCCGCGGCGCAGCGCAGGATCCTGCCCGCGCGGCTGCGCCCCGCGACGAGGCCACTCGCAGCCTTCCGAACACACCACGCCGACGATCGTGACCTCGTGCCTCGGTCCCTGCTCGGGGCGGCCCGGGTCGGTGGCCCTCCGCTGCGCCACGGCCACCCCGATGACCCCCCGCCAGCCTTCCAACGTCCCAAGGGAGAGACACCCGCCTCCAGGTGGTGCGCCCTGGTCGCCTCGTCGTGCTTGTTGATTTTCACGTCTGGCGCACGGTGCTTGACAACGTTCGTTATTGGGATCTGGTGCCAAGCGGCTTTGGCTCGTCTGGCCGGGCGGCTCTGGTTCCAGGGCCCAGGGTCTGACCACTTTAATTCCTGGGATCCGGCGGCGTTCACTCCTGGGACGCAAGGTCTGACCAGAGAGAGGGAGAGGAACAAGGAAGGAGGGAACGGGAGGATGGAGGGGGAGGAGGGTAATGGGGAGCGGGAGAGCGGAGGATAATCGGGAACAAAGCGGTCTTGCGGGGCGCTGGAACGGGAAAGATGTGTGGTAAAGGTTGTAGAAGAGGTGGATGGGATGGGAGAAGCCGGAATGAGGGAGGGGGATGGGGCGGAGGGGGTAGGGGAGGGATGAAGGACACCGCACAAGCTTCGGCCCTGGATGCGTCAACGGATTGCCCAGCCACGCTCAGTTAAACAGTCAAATGACGAGGGAGGGGTGAAATTCTAGGATGGGGTGCCGCGGTTCCGATCTGATCGTTAGCGGCCTTGCCCGAGACCCTCGCATCGACGCTGCAATGCGAACTGCATATCTCAACCCCCTGCTGCTAGTTTGCGCCCGCTGCGGATGCCTTACTGCGCGCCCAAGCGTTGTAAGAGCGGTTTCACGAGTCCGAACGCTCAGAACGACTGAAAGCGGATCCAGAATTATCAGCACCCGAACCCTGCCAAAAGCGACACCACGATGCCCTCTGAGCTAGTACTGCTCCGCGAGTTTCTCGACAGCGACCTTCAAGAGGTCCATTCGAGTCCAGTCTGACCTGCTCTAACACTCTTTCGGCATATGCGGCATGTGCAGGACCATAGTCCTTTTCTGGGGCTGTACTCTGATTCGAACCGGGGGATGGCAGGTAGTGGTCGGGGACAATGCAATACCGAACATTAGACCTGACGCTTCTTTTCGGCGCCTTTCAGGCCATAACCCCGTCCGTTGGCTGAAACTTACAGTGTGTGCTTCGAGTATCTGACGAGGCCAGGGTAGCCAGCTCTAAATACACCACGAATCCAGATTCCTTCCTCTCTAACTCCCTCCCTACCCCCTCTTCTCCCCTCCTCCTCTTCGTTCCCTCCCTCCCCTCATTCCCTGCTGCTCCCTCGTCCCCCAAGCGGTCTGGATCCAATGATCTGGATAGTCTCTGGGGCTTCGTGCATTTTCAAGCTGGACTACATTGCCCCCCCCACGGAGTGCTTCCTTCTGTCTTCTGCTCCTCCCTCCTCATATTCGTCAGGATCCTGCTCATTATCCTTATCCTCATCCTTCCTCCCCTCCTCCCTTCCTCCTTCCCTCACTCCCTCCCTCTCTTCTTCCTTCCGAAGGGGGAGGGGGACCGGGAGGCTAGAGGCACAGGCGAACGAAGGTAGGGAGAGAGGTCGCGGTCGTCCTCGTCGAGGTACGTGTTGAGCATCGCAGCCGACGCGGCCTTGCGCCAGAGCACCTTCAGCCTGCGCGGGAAGACGTCCGACGAGGACGAGGAGGATGAGGAGGGTGAGGAGGACGAGGAGGAGGAGGAGGACGAGGAGGACGAGGAGGACGACGAGGAGGAAGAGGAGGAATAGGAGGAGGAGGAGGAGGAGGAGGAGGAGGAGGAGGAGGAGGAGGACATTGAGGAGGAGGAGGACGAGGAGGAGGAAGAGGAGGACACTAAGGGAGAGCGCATTGAGCACATGAGGACATGAGGACTCCTCCTCCTCCTCCTCTCCTCCTCCTCCTCCTCTCCTCCTCCTCCTCCTCCTCCCATCTCCTCCTCCTCCTCCTCCTCCTCCTCCTCCTCCTCCTCCTCCTCCTCCTCTCCCTGCTGCGGGGCCTCCCCGCGGCGGACTCCTGGGCCACGGCCGCCAGCGCCGTCCCGAGCACCACGGCCAGCATGTGCCGTCGGCCTCTCCGCGAGAGGACGTCGCCACGCCGCGCCCGTCGCCCGTCCCGACCAGCCTCGCCAGAACGAGACGACAACATCGCGGCTCGGGCTTTCGAATTGTTCGAAGTCTTCGGGCGTCCTCGCGGGTTCCTGGAGGCCTTTCCGCCTCGGCATGCTCCCAAGCAACCGCGCCTCGTCGAGAGCGTGCCAGGGGGTGCCCACATCGTCCCGAAGGGCCGCTGCAGGCCTGAGCTGTGGCCCAGAAGCCAGGCACCCCCGCGTCGCGACAAAAGTCACGACGAGAGGTTTCTGGCTGAGTTCGGCCTCCGGGGTAGGCTCTGGGGGCTCCTGCTGGCCCCAGCATGGGGCGTCGAATCCGAATCGGGATGAAGAGCCAGTCTTGGGAGAAGGGGCCGTGGGGAAACCAAAAGATACCAATTCCACTGCTCCCCGAGCCTCTCCCTGGGCGCGTTCTGACTACGTAAGGAATCTCGAGGCGAATCCAGCGGTGGCGACGAGGCCTCCAAGGAGGCAAAAGAGGAGAATGGGGGACTGGCAGCTGCATGGGTGTCTTTCCCTCCTCTGCAGATCTCCGCAGAACCACCTTGCGACAGACAGTGCACCGTCGGCGTACTGGGAGCTCGCGAGGCCGTGTGGAGGCCGCGCAGCAGAGCCCCCGCCATCCAACGTCGAAGACGGCGCATCAGAGGGGCGCGGGCGGGGGGCCACTCGGCCAAGCCAGTGCGCCCATGAACGTCTGCGGTCCCAGACCCTCTGGCGTGACGAAAAGCATTAGGACGGAAGGCTTTTCTGCATGATCGGCCTCCGGGGGCCCCTAGCATGCCTCAAGGCTGTCAAGAACGACTTGGGATGAAAAACGGGTCTGGGGGGGAAGGGGTCCAGACCTCTGGGGGTCGACGTTGTGGAAAAAAAAAAAAAAAAAACACGGCGTCGGGGGTCTGGGGTGTGCGGATCAACAATGAGCGACCCATGAGCCTCTTAATTTCGAAGGGGCCGCTCCACGATGAACTATGGCCTGAAGCCACCCAGTGGCGGCGGGCCAGTTGCGGCGAGGCGTGTGGGAGAGAGAAAGAAGGGACCATCACCACCCGGAGGGCGGAGACAGAGATAGGAACAAGCAAGCCCGACACCACCACCGCCACCAGGGACCACCAGCGGCAGGAGCCAGGGGGGTGGTGTGCCCTCCCTCTCTCGCTCGAGGCATCCCTCATTTCCAGCTCGGGGAGGCATCGTGGACCTCCGCGCGGGGGGTTGTCCCCCCTGGTGGTGGTGGTGTCGCTTCTCCTTCCCCAAACTTGTGTGGCAACTCATGGGAGCCTCTCAGACTATCTGGCTGGCTCTTGCGAATCGGCGCTCATCGCTGCTAAAGCCACGATCATCGACGCTAGACTGGCGCTTTCTCATCGATTACTCGACGCGACCGCACGCTAATCCAATATAGACTTAGAAATAGAATGCGAGGTCACACAACGCACATGATTTCCGATCGAAACCAAAGGAGAGGAGTCAGGGACGGTGGTGGTGTAGACCTTTTCGGGCGCTTCTGGAGGGCATCCTGCAAACCTGCTTCTGGCGGATCGACTCGTCCTGCACACATACACACACCAGGTGGTGGTGGTGCGCTTCCAGGTCCCCAGGTCCCATCGCGCAGCTGTTCGCGCCGAATCCGCGTCGAATCAACGGCGAACGTTGAATTCGCGCCGAGTCCACGCGGAATCCGTGTCGGATCAGCGTCGAGCCCACGCCGAAATCGCGCCGGCCACGTATCGGATGTGAGAACAGACCGCAGCTTACAGGACAGAGGAGGCGAAGCCAGACCTTACCTGGCTCGAACATGCTTTCAACCGATAAAATCGCATGTGTGACGAAGTGCCCGTCCAACCGGTGCCACACATAACTGTCGCAGGTGAGTTGCAACCACCATCGACAACCAGCGCCCCCCCGAAGATGCAGCGTGAGGGTTAGATGGGGAACCTCCTCCACAATCACTGTTCAACCATGATCTCTGCACATTCGCTTTGCCGATCGGCATTCTTTGGAAACGGTCTTGTGGCTCACTGCTGGAGGGCATCTGGAACCGGGTCTGCGGCGTTCGAGTGCACCTCAGGCTGGGCTTGCAGAGTTCGACGGCGGCTGGGACCGGGCTTACGAACGCGGGTGCGTTTGGAACTTGGTTTGCGCGCTGAGGCGAGCTTTGGCTGAGGAATGTGCATGGGAGGCTTCATACCCTGGATGATTTTTCATCTAATGAGGGCGGAGGTGACATCCGCGGCCAATCCACGCTTGGAGTTCCACAGGCCTCCAGACCCTGGATTCCATACCCAATGCTTCCTTATCCAATACCCTCACTGTGAGGGCGTTTCAGACAGGGTTTGGGGTTTGCGCTGTTGGGACCAGGTCTTGTCTGCCTCACAAAGAAGCGAATGGCGAAAGGAAATCCCACGCACCCGGCGGCTCGAACACAAAACGAGGCGGCATTTATGGTCCTCTGGCTGAGATGCCCCTGGACCGGCAACAGACGACTCGGGATAGAAAGCCGGCCCCGAGGAAGGTGTGGAGAGGTCGGGGGGTCAATGCCAGAACATATCGAGCCGCCGGAGGTCCGCATTGAGGCACGGAGGGGGCAGGGAGGAGGGGGCAGAGGAAGCGCCCAGCAGCATCGGAGCAAGCATACCAGGACGCTGGAGATACGCACCGCTGGATGCACGCGCGGAGCATGCGGAGGCCGCGCGCCAGATTCACATGCGGATGGCCAGCGCGCTCGTCCGTGCAGGGCCGATCGCTGGAAAGACACTGTCCAGCTCTAGCCCCGGCTAGCTGGCCGCGTCACTCGCCATGCAGCCCCCCACGGCGCAGCAAGTGTCGCAAACGGGGAGGGAACATACCGCCATCGTCCACTGTGGAAGTCGAAGCCGCCATTTTGCCGGCTTTGGAGCCCAGTCGAGCGCGCGCAGGCACGTCAGCACAGACCGGGCTGCAGGTTCAGGGAAAAAATAGAAACACCACAGGCTGACAGTGGCTGGCATGGCTTGGCTGGTGATCGCGTCTACGAGATCCTATGAGATCGCGGAAAGGCCGTCCACGGGACCGCACAAACCGGTCAACAACAAACCACGAACTCAGTGACCGGTCAGTGCGCCTATGATCTGGAGAGGGGGCGCCCACCCTCCCCCACACAGCCTGCCCAGAAGTCGCTGTACCTGCCCTGCTGGATGGCGGTCTGCGAGCCAGCCTGCACCTCGCTGCGGGGCGGTGGAGGAGCAGGAGTCCAGGAGCAGGGGGCGGATGAGGAGCAGGAGCAGGAGCACTTGCTGACATTCAGAGTCCATGACCCCGGTCAATTACAGTAGAAACCCAGACCCCCGACGATCTGATCGTTCAATCCGCGGCCCCAGAGCTCCCGACCGCTTGCTGGGGGTAGTGTTTCATCCTGGGTCCATTTGAAGCAGTTCTTGAGATCCTGGCAAATGCAAATCTACAAGCATGGAGGAGGGATGGGGGGGCGAGGCACAAAAGCAATTCTGGAGTTCACGCAATTCGGGGCTCATTGACGTGTCTTTTCGGCCCAGCGCTACTTGAAAAGGGTCAGGCGGGACAACTGTGTCCAGAGGGCCCTGCCCGCCTGGCACCTAAATGCCCCGCGCAGCTTCCGCAGCTCTAACATTCGCTGGCCAGCGCCGCTCCTAGCGCCAATGCCCGCGCGGGCCTGCCACGTCACGTCTCCCGCTCCCGCTGAGCGGCGCCGCCACCCCGAGCGGGAGATCGATGACCCGTGCCCTCGCGGCTCGTCCGGCCTTGTTGGCGAGCACGGACGGCTGCGGATGCCCGCCGGGGTAAGCGCCCCGCAGCCTGGCCAGACGGCTCATCGTGTTCTGGCCGCAAGGGCGGCGGCACCACACGACCTCCGCTGTGCGCCACAGGCCATGTCCGCGGCTGCCCAGCCCAGCGCTGCCGACGTCCACGGCAAGGCGGGCGGCCGCATGCAGCAGGCAGCGCTCCACCTCCAGCGCGTCGACCTTTGCAGCGTGGCGGCGGCAGCGGTGGCACTCCCAGCCACCGCCCCGCCGGCACCTGAGGTCATGCCGCTCGGACAATTCTGGGACGAGTTCGAACCGAGGCGGCGGCGGAGGTGCATGGGGCGAAGGGCCTGGCAACCTGCCCGCGTCTGGCCAACCGCTGTGCGAATTATACACCTGTTCGGTGAGCTCGGCGACGTAGTTCAAGGCAATCTCGATGTGTTCCTCCTCGGCCACGCATGCCTCTTAAACATGCTCGAGAGGATGTTTTACTCCCTCGCCCGCGCCCTGGCCAGCAAGGCGGTCAGCCTCTGCGCTCGCCCGCGCAATTTGGAGTTCAGCAGCCTCCAGCCTTGCCACCCCCGCCGCGGTCTGGGGCGCCGTCGTCTTCTGGAGCAGCACGCCCGCGGGCCCAAGGCCGAGATCCTCGGGCCTGGCAACGCACACGCACCATGCCCGACCAGCGGCAACTCCATCCAGAACTCTCTGGCGGTCGCAATGGAGCACAGTTGGCGGCACAGCATGCGCCGGCGCGCGCTCCACGGCCTGCAGCTGGGCCCGGGCAGTGCTGCGCTGCACGGGAAGCTGGCGAGGGAGCGCCTCCCCAGGCAGCCGCCACCAAACCGCCGTCGGCGTCCACCATGGCCGCGGCCCGTCCAGCACGCCCGAGCCAGCGCCACCGGCCGCCTGTGAGGCTGCCAGCAGTTCCAGCCTCGCCCAGGAGCCGGGCCTCGCCCGGGAGCCGGGCAGACCCGAGGCTCCTGCAGCGGCTGCCTCTTGGAACTGGAGCCTGCCGCCTGGGCGGGCACTCGGGCCGCGATCCCACAGCCACCTGTGACGGACCCCGGGGAACGACATCTCGGAGAAACGCCGGAATTGAAACATCCAGATCGTCGGATAACTGGGGAGGGCAAACGAGTGGCAGGAGACAGGTTTCCTCCAGGCTCGGGCAAGTTTGCCTGCATGGAGGGGAAGGGCGGGGTCCAGCCCCGACAGGAAATCTGAACTTCACGCCATTCGGGCCTCACTCGCACTCGTTTTCGGCCCAGCGCTGTTTGAAAAAGCGGCGGCGGCGTGGGGTGGGGCGGGGAATGCCACTCAAGTCAACTCGCCTGAGTCTGAAATAAAACGCCCTCCAGGTCGACTTTGGCCCTTGCCCTCCTGGGGTGGAGGCATCCGCCGAGCCGCTGCCAGTCCTCGCTGGTGGGGTGGGGATCCGCTGGGACGGGCTTGGCAGACCTGCCTCCCGAAGCGCAGGAGCAGATGATAAGGCAAAGGCGCTACGAGGATGCGTTCACTTCCAGTCATAACATGGCTGGGCGAGCTGAGCTCACACCCCTGCTTAGAGCTAAGAGAATCTTAGGCTAAGAAAATGGCCTACACACCAAGCGTTTTGTTAAACAACAGTCCAGGTCCAGAGATACGAACCTTCTGCGATAAACGAAGCTCCAAGAAAACGTCCAGGGCCTAGTCCAGATTCTTGATTTGCTCAAGCGGATTCTGAGGTCCATGAAAGTTGACGACGGCGTTTTCTTAAGACGTCTGATGGGTGTAGGTACGTCTGCGGATGGTATGGCCCAGGCGCATCGCCTTCGGCCTGTCTGAGGCGCCCTGCCTAGCTCATTGAATGAGGGGGGAGGGCGTGCCGAGGATCGAGCCCCCCAACCTCGGGCAATGGGAGGGCTAGGCGCCATGGGAGGGGCACACACACATACGATCAACACAGAACGAAGAGTAGCGCAGGAGCAGGAGGAGCAGGAACAGCAGAAGGAGAAGGAGGAGGAGGATGCTCAGCGCTCAGCATCTAAGACTAGGAATATGTGGTGGCCTCTGCATCGCAACGGCAAAATGAGCTCAGAGCTCAGCTGGACGCCGGGCGCTATGTCAATTCGTGGAAGGTCCTTACCGGAAGCAGGAGCAGGAGCATGATGGGGCGGATAATGATGAGGAAGCGGATGAGGAGGAGGAGGAGGTGGTGGAGGCGGGGAGAGAGAGAGAGAGAGAGAGAGGCAACAGACGACCCAGGTGCGCGCACCAAAGCTGACATTTGACCCCTCCCACGAATCCCTTCCCATTGCGCTGATGCCTTCTCAATCCGCCGACGGGTATCCTAACAGACCTGGTTCACCAAACTGACCCCGTCGTGTGATGCGCAATCAGGAAGGAGAACTGAATGCAATTTGGAGGAGGAGGACGACGACGAAGTGGTGGATAAACAGAAGGATGAACGGGAAGACTAGGACGATGAGGAAGGAGGTGGAGTTGGATGAGGAGCAGCAGCAGCAGAAGCAGTAGCAGGAGGAACGGGAGGAGAAGGACCAAGGGAAGGCGGTGGAGGGCGACAACGATGAGGAAGGAATCGGATCCAGAACTGTTGCCTGCTCTGGGACGAGAGCGCTTTTCGGAACGACGAAAGCAAAATGCCCATCCTGAAATGGGACTGCCGCTGCAGCGCGCGCACCGTCAGAAAGACCGGAAACGTCCGCCCTGAAGGGGAAACTATGATTAAACGCCACACCGCAAAACGACATGGACACACACACAGATGAACACGGCACCGTGGACAACTGAACACATCATAGAAAATGCTATAGCCCTGAACGCACACAACGCACAACACCATGCAGGAGCAGAGACGCCCCGCTCGCATGGGATCCGGTGGGGGAGGAGAGAGCTACTCATGTTGAGACATTGCCGAGGGGACCAAAGGGGCGGTGGATGGTGAAGAGGAATATTTTGAAGGGAAGAAAGGAGGAGGGCGCGAGGAGGACAGAGGGGAGAGCAGGGGGAGGGCGCGAGGACGGGAGGGGAGGAAAGGGCTCGAGGGAGTGGAGGAGGAGGAACATGAGCGCGGCGAGGAGGACAAAGAAGGGAGCAGCAAGGCAAGAGCCGGAGAGCGTACCAAGGAGGAGCACGGAGGCGTGCAGCGGGAGAGGAGGACGGAGTTTTTTTTTTTTTGCACCTCGGGCCATTCGCACGCGGCTCTGGCCAGTCACCCTCCAGGTGGGGTGGCCTGACGGTGCCTGGGCGTGCCGAGTGGCGGGGGCCCAGGGCAGAGACCGCCAGGCGGGTGGCCCCTCACAAGCCCGCAGCACCACCGAGATGGCGGTGGGGGCTTGGACGGGGGCCTAGTCCGAATCGTCCTCGCCGAAACCCACTGGAGGGATGAGCGGTTCCTCATCCTCCTCTTGGCGCAGGCTGGATTGCAGCTGGCGCAAGCGTCCGGCCTCGGGCCGCTGTGGGCGAGGCACAGGGTGTGGGGCTGGCGGGCTCGGGAGCGGCATAGCAAAGCGCGCTGCTGCTTTCTCTCTCTGCGCGCGCTGCTGCCTTTGAATTTCTGCGGTGTTGTACCGCTCGGACTCTGAAGCAAAAAGACGAAATCTCGGATGCCTGCCATCCAACAGACGATTTCTCACATTCGCTCGTCCACCACTCTTGGGAGGACTTCCAGGACAAGCGGCGGGCAAACCTCTGAAAGCGTACTGGGCATAACGCCCACAGACTAAGCAAAACACAACAGGCGTGGCAAAGTGCGCAATCGCCATCTGATGGCTGGCGTGAATAGCTTCTAGGCCGCGTCGGAATGCGCTGGCAAGTGGTTGGCATGCCTGCCTCTCGCGCGCGACTGCGGCCTTATACGATCGGGCGTACGTAAAACATGCTCTGAACCTGTACGGTATCGGCCCCTGCAGAACCTCCCAGTCGTGGACGACGATGGTGGCCTGAACCTTACAGGGCAGAGCGGCTCTCTCGCTCTTGCGCCTGTTGCGCTGGCACAAGGCAAGAACTCTGGGCGCATATAGAGCTATCGCTCGAGCGGCCTCGATCTTGCGTTGCAAATCCTGCACCGCAGTCGGGTTGAAACTGGGGTGACAGTCGACGGCCGCTTTCGCCGTCTTGTCTGCTGCAGCATTGATCTCCGCAGCAAGTCTGGCCTCTCCAGCCAATGATTCTATATCCTGATGGCTCTTGACCTTAGAGGCCGTCTCGAGGTGATATCTGCTGTCCCGCGCAAGCGCAAGCTTGTGCAGGCCTGAATACTTGAGCTTACTACTGAGACGCGTCGGCAGTGGCCTAGCATGCTGATCTAGGACCGCTTTGCAGTCCACCCAAGTCTTCGAGGGTTTAGTGAGGGCCTCCTGGAGCACCAGGAAGCCCATGTGCTCCCCAGCCTGTGAAGTCTGGGGAAGGTTCGCAGCGACAGCGCCATAAAAGGAGGCCTCTGGGGCCCCGTCGGTACTGTAAGCCACTACCGAAAACGTCGCTCTGTCTAACTCCGCTATGCCTGTCTTGGTGCACGACCCGTCGGTTCCCGTGAGCCCCCCAAAGTGTGGTACCGTGTCTGGCTGACCGTCGTGTCTGACGAATCGAACGATGGGATCCTCTCTAGGCAGCGGAAAATCATCATGCTGTTCCCCTGGGTGCTCGAAGATACCGAAGCAGTACAGGGGGCTATTCTCTGGCGCCTCCAGCGCAGCCTGCAGCACGTCTGGTGGCAGCAGCTCTGTCCTGAGGGCAACTACCTCTGGATGCTGACAAGTAAAGAGGCGGTGGTGTATGGTGTCCCCGAAGGCTTTACAGAGCGGGCACTCATTAGGCACGTCGTAGCCTAGCTGAGCGAGTTTTTCTTCAGTCCACCATCCCTGGACCACGAGAGTTTGGAGAATGGCCTTAAACCTGGGGGGGGGGCTTCTTGCTTTTGGGGGAAAGCAAGGAACGGACCACATCAAAACAAACTCTCTTCATGGGGGCTGGGCTGGGTATGCTCTTGGCAGCTAGTGTTTCCCACCTCCTCTGGCATCCTCGGCGCAGCAGGTCGGCAAGCAGGCTCGGCGAGGTGTCAGTGAGCCTGACCGTCCTGCCGAAGTGGTCCTGCAGTGTGAAAGCGGATGTGAAACTCCAGCCGATTCGGTGAAGCGCGTGGGCTGCCGCACTGAGTGGTCCTCGCACGGCGTTATAACACAAGTGCCCTATTGGCTGCACGTTGTTATATATCTGCTTGAGCTCAAGAAGGCCGAGGGTCCCTGGGGTCGCGTATTTGCCGAGGGTGGTGTGCCACACTTCCTGGGCCCACCTGAGGACGGGCCCTAAGGCCCAACGGTCGGCCCTGGACCCCGTGACGGCGAAGGCCGCACTCCTGGATTTCTTGGAGGAGCAAGGCGTGATTTGCGCAATCTCCAGAGACTGCAGCATATACAAAGACTTGTTACTGAGACCGCCAACGGCGGCCCCGAAAGCACCAGCAGGGAGGAGACCAGTAGTGACAATCTTGCGACATCTCTGTCCAGCGGTGGCGGTGAGCTTACGCAGGCGTTGCCCCCTGACCGTAGCGGTCCTGAGCCTGACCTTGCGCTTGGCGGCTGCGCCGTTACAACCGAAGGATTTACCAGCCGTAAAATCGCACCCTAAGTTAGTGGCGACCGCTTGGAGCTTGCCCCCTGTGGCCCCGAGAGCCGACGTGAGAAGCCTGGCTAACGACACCGACGACGCAACGACCGCTCCTTTGTGAACAGCTATCTTGGCCTCTAAGTCTATCTCGATGAGACGGGCAAGCTCCTTGGCGGCACTGACAACACGCTTGAGCACTCTGACCGTGGTGCCGTGACAGGTGATGGACAGGTCGTCAAAATAGAAATCGAAATAGACGGCCGAGTGCAGCGATGTTATTCGCAAGAAAGCACCAAAGCAATATATCCTGACATAGAGGATGCAGAAAGAACAGCCCGCCACTATGCCGTTGGTGGCTGCGATGGGCAGAGCCACACAGCGCTTCCA